AAACAGAACTTCAAGTCCTTCCCTCAGGTATTGCTTGTCCTTTGCCTCCCTCCCTCCAAGTCAATGGCACTGACATTAGATCTAACTTGCAGGCTTGCTGCATAAGTGTTGTTTTTGACTCCAACCTCTTCTTTACCCCTCGTGTCAAGTCAATTGCCAAATCTAATCTATCTCAAAAACATAGCTCATGTGCACCCCTAACTAATGCCAGGTAAAACAAAGAATATGAGACCTCTGAGAACAGACAAAGGCTTACAGAAACTCAAAAACTTGCCCTTCCAAGGCTCCTTTCACACGTTTCCAGAGATGCAGATGCTGGAAGCTGATCCAGTCACCATTCATTGGCTAAGAGTGTCAACTAACTGCTTTCAGCCAAAGAATAGCACACTGTGCCTAAAAATTTTCACAGAATTGACACGAGCCAGCCTGGAACTTTTGTTCCAGGTTGGCTAATGACTAACGATGCCCCAATAATTCTGGCACCAGAGAGGTTAAACTCTGCATGTGGAAGTTTCAAAGCAAAATGCTGCACATACAGACTGCAGGCACCATGACCACTTCAAATCACTGAAGTGATCATAGTGCTTGGAATAACACTTTAACTGATGTGCAGATGTAAAGTAGCGCCCAAAAAGCCACCATAAACCAATTTTGGTGATTTGCCTATTAGATAAACCCTTGAATATTAGGATTTCCTGGTAAAATTTTCTTTTCTTTTCAGAATTGTTTACATTCTAGGTGGAACCGTCTCATAATGTGTTCTCAAACGAACATTTGTTTTATATATGAATCACCTGTAACAGGATGCCAATGTGTAATTAAAAAGACAATACCAAAATAATGAAATGCAGCGCATGACATTTTAAACATAATGGTAAACACTTAAGACAGATTTAGTCAACTGTTAATTGCAAAAGGGGATTGTCCCTAACATCTATTTTTGTAATGAGGTTGAACAGTATACTTAGAAGCAAGATCTATTAAAATCTAACATAAAGAACCCATTTTAAGAAAGAGTCGTTTAATAATGTTTTTGGCAGTAAAAGATATCTGGTCTTCAAGATTCCATTTAATCTCCTAGAAGTTCAGTTGTGTCTTGTTTGCGTCAAGAAATAAAATATATAATTGGCAATCACTAATTTTAGCTTACATGTTTTGTTTTCATTTTTATTCGTTATTGAAGCATTTTGATATAAGCATATAATAAGAAGTATATTGAAGCATAAAGAAGGATCAGGACAAAACCCGGGACATGAGAATATACAAGGTATAGTGGTCAGTGCAAGTAGGTGTATTCAACATGATCGAAACATAACACAAATGCTTCATGTACACAGTAAAAGAGAAATGCGAACCATAGCAAGGGTCAAGCAGCTGGTAAATAATATGCAAACCCATCCTTCCTATTGTGATGGGATTCCAGCATGGTCAAAATTTAGTAGGCCGAAATCTCCACATGGCATATGCTAATTAATATCTGATTACAAACAGTTGGATGAGTCATCAGTATACTGAGCATGTGTGGAAGTGGATAGTACATTCCTTTGTCTGTAAATGCCATGTGGTCTGCCCATATAAGGTGATCCAGAATATCCTGTGTGCTGATTGGTCTGAGGAATATAGGAGGGGTTATACTGTATGGGAGGGGATATGCTGCTAACAAAAGGCCTCTGCACCATGCTTTCTGCCTCTCCGATATTTTTGGAACAGGAGTTCATCTGAGACCCGATCGGTGTGTAAATAAAAGACCTGTTACTTCCCGAATACCAGTGTCCATATCTCTGTGTGGCTTCTGCGGTTTGTTCCTGTTATTTCTCCGGTAACACTATAATGTGTATATTTTAGAGCTTTACCTGCGAAAACGTGTAGGATTATTGACTAAATTAGTGTACCACCATCCATTAATCTCAGCTAAATTATATATATAGTCTGTAAGCTTGTTTGAGCAGTGCCCTCATCTACCTATTGTTCCTGTGTAGCAGTAGAAAGAGGGAAGTGCTCATGCCATTGTACAGAACACTGGTGAGACCTAACTTGGAGTATTGTACGCAGTACTGGAGACCGTATCTTCAGAAGGATATTGATACTTTAGAGAGAGTTCAGAGAAGGGATACTAAACTTGTTCATGGATTTCAGGATAAAACTTACAAGGAAAGGTTAAAGGAACTTAGCATGTGTGGGATATGCATAAGGCTATCCTAACTATAAGATAAGGCCAGGGACTAAAGAAAGTATTAAAAAAACTGGGCAGACTAGATGGGCCGAATGGTTCTTATCTGCCGTCACATTCTATGTTTCTATGTTTCTATTCACTGTGTAATTGTCTAATTTATTGTAATATTTCCCTGCTTTCATAATATTGTAAAGCGCTGTGGAATTAGTTGGTGCTATATAAATACTAATACTAATAATAATACCTGTAATAGTATGATGGATGTGAGGGGAGGATAAAAAAAAAACGAACCATAAAATTATAGGGGAGAAATCAACCCACCCAAAATAAGTAAACTTGGTCAAATCAAGAGAGAAGCGATTAGAAAATGAGCCTAGAGGGGTACGTACCAGGCCAATATAAAATGGAGTGTAGATAGAAAATGTCCAGGCACTTAAATAGCTTCAGGCACATTTACTCGAACAAACAGAGCACTGCGACGTTTCGACCCACAATTAGGTCTTTGTCAAGCTTGTCTAGAGGTTTAAACGTTGAAGTGCTCTTTTTATCCTGATTAATGTTTCTGAAGCTATTGGAGAGCCTGGACAATTGTTATCTACATTTAGGCTTCATGGGATGGTGTTGGTCCATGGTCTAGTTTAATACCCTTGGCTTTTGTGGATTGAGTGCAGTTCCTACTTGTTCTATTGCAATATAAAAGGGGGTGACCTATTTTGTGATAGTGGTCGATGCCCACAGATGCCCTTCTCGTGATGTATATCATGTACGGTGTAAGGGGGTTATCTGTGCCCACCTCTCTCAGGTTTGAAAGAACTTCTTATACCTACCCATTAGCCTGAAGGACATCTCTTCATACTGGCATGTCTGCTTTAACTAGTTCTTTACGTGATTATTGCATTATCTATGCAATCAGAAAAACCTGCACAAAATAAGTAGGAGCTCTGCCTGTGGGCTTTTGTCAAAAACTGGACTATGCTATTTTATTTCGTAATTGATGTCAAGCCAAGTTCTATTTTGTTTATTCACGTATCTCAAGAACTCATTTAATCCTTAATCTTTTTTATTAAGCATTAAATGCGTTATTCAATCTCCTTGTATGGATTAGAGGGTTTTATAAGTGTTTATCTCCCGGTTATATCATACCTTTAATTAGTTATGATTTTTTTTTTAAGATTTGGGTTTGGATTTCATGTGACAAGCCTTCGTATATTTTCTATATAATTATGTTGGTAAGGTTTGCTTTGACGATAGCAGGGGAACTTTACACTTTCATTGCTTGTGGACATTTTCTGTAAAAGGAATTAATAATAGTGCACACAAAGGATTTTGGTTACTTTGCAACTGAAATGCAATTATTGTTTGGTTTGTTATAATTGCAACCTTATTCATCTGTTCAAGTTTTTTTTTTTTTAAGTGAATCATGAATGTTTGCAATGTAGAACTTTAAATATCTTTGGCACAATATGATGAGGTTGAACCTACGTCAATACATATCTATCTATTGTCATTTGTATATACAGAATTAAAATAATCAACTGAGAAAGTGTAACTTAAACCACGTAACGTGTTTAATGGAAATTAAACCGCGTAGCGTGTTTAATGTGAAAAGAAACAGACAGCATTTGTAGTAAATATGTGCCAACAACCTGTCGAACTGTGATATGTTTTTTAAGAACTGTAAGAAAAAAAATCCATAATTAGCGAATCATTGGTTCCTAAAAAAACAGGATGAACCACATACCTCAAAGGGCAAGTCTGTTTGTGGTTTAGGTATGAAGTTCGTATTAGATTTATAATGAATATCCTTGTTTGTATATGTCAGTTGATGTGTGTCTTTGTCTAATATTTCTTGGAGAAAGTCTGCTAACTGCAATGATGAGGATTGCAACAGAATCTGGGATAATATGCAGAAAAAGTGTCAGCAAAAACCACAAGAAAAGTAAATTGTGGGATGTTTATTAAAAGGGCACAGTTATGGGCACCAACGCAACTTTATTACAATTTATAGAATTGTGACCTCGGTAACATCAGTCTTTTGGACTGAAAGTTCTACTTTACTGAAAGTTTTGTTAATACACAGTAGTTTTATTATGATTTATTAAGAAGGACTGATGATTTTTGTAGCCTGGAATGTCCATTAAGGAGCAATTATGAGGAAAAGTTCCAAAACTAGAGCACACAGCAAGGACAAATGCTACATGTTGATTTATTTTAGGATGTTATCCCAGAGTATCTCTTCATGTATGTTTTCATATATCTCGCAAAGAGATACCGTACTCAGAGGACAATGTAGAATGGGTTACAAAAAATGGAACAAAAAGATAAAGGGCAGAAAAATGGGATCAAGGGCATAAAACAAATGGGAAACAGTGAAATAGAGAGATGGAGCATGGGAAAGAAAGGTTCAATACAAAATAAGGGGAATAAATAGAGAAAAGGTAATTACAAAATCACAAACAATATACAAAGCAGCATCTGAGATTATTGACCAACATTATATTTATCCAGCAGTGGAGGCTCATCCAGTGGGGCAGGGAGGGCAGAGCCCCCCATAGGCCGCAGCATTTGCCGAAATAAAAAATCTATTGGTTTTGGAATGACTAATAATACGAATATATTAGAAACATATTGCGTCTGTCATGATGATTTCTGAAGTTTCTTCCCTCTTTCTGATGTCTGGAGACGCCACTGAGAGGCTTCCCCATTATCTGGGTATTAACACCTGAGACATGCTAAGTCTACTCTATAACTGGGCTGTCAGACCCTGGGAACCCTAAAAGAAAGGCCCGTGCTTTGTTTTACCGTCTACTGTTTCCACTGAGTATCAGCCTCTGGCTGAAACCGACCGCTTTAAATTTACGCAGTCAATAAAGTTTAGCCAGAATCAGATATGCCAATATGGGAAGTCACACAAGCTATGTCAAACACAAATGCAGACAATCACTATACGGCTAAAGGATGAACACACAAGCATAGAATTGGTTACCATTTAGCTGTCATTTGGCTGTGATGAAGAGTTTCGCTGAATGAGTGCAGATTTGACTACCAGCGTTTGGAACGGCCATTTCCCATCACAGCTGATTCTGTAGGAAAAAGTGGCCCAGGAAAAAGAATACCATTGAGGTAACACATGAAATATATACATGCCAAAAAAAAAGTTTTTCATCTAAGCCTTTTAGCAGTATACAGGGTTTTCCAGAGAACAAAACTGAAATAAATAGAATTCCTTCACTGAAAGAGAAGAGGCTACTACTAATAAAAAAAACAACAATATTATTTGATGGTTAAACACTACACATAAAAAGTGGAGAAGTGGGGGGTGGGGGGGAGGTGGGGTCTGAGCCTCAATCTAGCCAGATGTGCTTTCTTTGAGCTTCTGCCAGCACAAGGCCTACATACGCCAAAACTGCACTAAAACTGCTACAAATGATGCAAAACGAAGAACAGTGGATACCCCGACAAAGGTGACCATACCTGTCAGTTTCTTCCACCGTCTGAACCACGGCCTTCCAGGACCAACGGTCCGACGTCTGGGAGAGGCGGACGATCTTCTGCCGTGGATCGCACACCCCATGGTGGACCAACTGAAGCCCCATTTCTCCCCTCTTTGGACTGGCGAGGGAGATCCCGGTCCCCACTGGGAATGCTTGCCATGCTGCTGCGGCCACATTGATCACCGCTGATCCTGAGACCATGTGGCATGGAAAAAGATGGCCGTCAGGCCGATTTGTCCCAGCGATCCGAGCAGACCCAGGGAGCCAGGGCTGGGTGAAAAACTTTGAAGACAGATTCGACAAACTATGCCAAGATTTATGGACTCGCATAGCATGCCACTCACGCATTTATGCTACACCTGTCCGCACCTAGCAACGACTACAGAGGACTGTGGCCTCCACACTGCTCCAACCTGCAAAGCTCACAACTACTGGGAGGCAAAGACACAGCATACAAAGCAAGACACTAGCGGCGGATCCCAAAACCTCGTCTGGGTTGCAGGACGGACAGGAGGGCGAAGTGCAATGGACTGTGCTAGAGTCTGGGGCTGGTGCGACGCCACCATATGGGACTAGAGCAACAAAAATCATCACTTTGTTTAGTGGGCAAAGGATAAGATATACACACACCCTCGAGCCTAGGCCTGAAGGTCCCTAACTCCTTCCCTAACCTTGCCCTCAGTCACACTTGGGGCAGCAGTTTCTTATATTAACATATGTCAACTACTGTAATCTAGTCACTACCAGTGGTATCACTTCTCTTTCATAACAAAAGGTTTTTGTGGGAAATACTTAGGCATGTCATAATGTTATCTCGTTATGTTTTTTTTTTTTTTTTTATCAGTTATGATCTTCTATAAATGCTTGCTTTAGACTACCTTATCAGCTATCACACCATGAAAATTTAAGTTTATAGAATGAATACAAGCCTGTCTGTATATCTCTATATTTTTCTTCGTTGACAAGCTACACACAGTCTAGCGTTTAGACATGCATGATCGGCTTGAATATTACCAACCCTAACCTTGGGTAATCACACTAATTATGTTACATAAAGCTGAACCATCTTGTTTTACCTTACCTCACCAAAAATAGTGCCCAGTTATAACATACCTAGATGCTGTGGATATATATTAGCTTGTTTGTGTACTCCATCCACTTTATTTACTAATCTTCATTTCTTGTTTTTGAATTCCCTACCTTGTTTCCCACACAGACATGTATGTTCTAGCTTGTCCAACGCTGCATTAATTTGTGGCAATGTACTCTCACTCCACATGCATACTAAACTACATAGCAATAACCCATCAGTTATGTTAAGCCTGTTTCTATCAACTTGTTTATGTTTAAAAATGTGCAAACATTCGTGACAATGTTAAACCTGTTTGACTCTATACTTACGCTGTTGTGGTGCTTGGCAATCATATGTACCACTCTGCACAAAAAAAATAAAAAAATAAAAAATCTAATGGCAATACATCCAAAAGCTGCTAGAGATGTGAATAGTCTCAACAGAGCCGGTTAGGTGTACAGGAAAACACTGCCATGAAATGTTATTAAACATAAAGTGCTACTGCAAAAAAAGTGGCAAAGTGATAATCAGAACTACAGCTCCCATCCTCCTCTTATTCTGGATTTGGTAAATAAAGGAGAAGACTAACAACTGTTTGTCTCTTACAAGGTTATTTACTAACGTGAGAATTCAAAGTAAATATTAAATGTAAGGTCAAAATAGCTGATCTAGAAAACAAAAACTCTCTAAATCAACTATGCTTTCAGTTCCGCTGCTCTGTCCTAAATTTGAAATTCACTTTGAAAATGTCCCACTTTTGTAAAAAAAAAACCTCTTAATGTGTAAATGGCAAAGCTGCAACACAGAGAGGCAGAGCATTATATACTTTTTGCAAAGCATACGTTTAGGGGCTTAGGTAACTACGTAGCAAACATTGTCATTTTATTCACAGACGGAACTTCGTATCTTTTCAGCTAATCAGTTGGACAAAATATACCCTGTGCAAAACAGGTTCCTCCAAAATACTTATATCTAGCTAGGCTTCCACACAGATATTCTAAGTAACGGGGCTTTCACTGGCACATAGTAGCTTTTACACATACACTTCCCTCTGTCTTATTGGCAAATCCATCCACAGAGGTTATTGAGTGTGTTTATGACTAGTCAGAAGACTAAGTGTACAATATATATCGACTTCTTTCTATCCAGGATACACTCACAGGAACTTACAAAGAACCACCTTGGTTGATTGCAGAATAGTACACACAAGTATAAGATTTGTAAAAAGTAGAAAGTGAATGATCTCATAATAATAAGCCACAACATAACTGCATTGACAACAGACAAGTTAACGGGTGTTTAACAAGGACAAAATGAACTTACAAATTCAGCTAAATACTGCCACCTTCTGGCATAAATAAAGTATCACATCAATCAAAGAGATCATGTAATTTGTTATAATTTGTTTTTTTTTCTTCCAAGTTTGTGAAGTGGGATAAAGCTAGGGCACCGTGGTTTTGACCTAGGTTTAGGCAATTAACCCCTTAAGCACCAAACTTCTGGAATAAAAGGGAATCATGACATGTCACACATGCCATGTGTCCTTAAGGGGTTAAGAGTTGTGTTTTATATATAAATATTTACATGCAGTATATTATGTGGTTGAGGATAAGATGTTGTTATTTCTATTTAAATTGTTAAAAATACTGGTGTGATTCATCTACATTATTTCAATAATTATTAAAGGGTTATTCCAAACAAAAAACAGTGTTTTAGTTAGAATTACTCTTTGTTAGGGGGTCCAGTATGCTCCCACTCAAACTTTAAAAAAAATAAACAAAATAAACACCTAGTCGTAGCTCAATCCACAGCCAAGTCCTTCAACTGGTTCTTCACTCAGCCTGGCCCTCCTTGGCTGACGTCACTCCCCTTGCCGGAGGGGACTATTGAGAGCTGATAATCTGGGGCAAATTCTGGCAGCATTTGTGAGATTTTCTTAAATTTCATAGGTACTGCAGTAACCAACTCACAATAGTTTTCCTGACTGTATGGTCACTTTAAATCACAGTGTTGATGGTGTTTGGAGTAACCCTTTAATACCAAGAATTGCATTGAAGGTCTTCTCTACAGAATGTAATGTATTCACTGTAGCATTGTAATGGATACAGTTTATTGTATTGAACTGAAAATGGAATTAACATTTTTAGGTCAAATTAGATTTATTGGAAACATTTTTTTGCCTGAAATCTACATTGCCGTTCACTAAACTGGAAATGTTTGTGAATTGTACAATAAATGTAGAATTCTATGCCAAACAATGTAGTCCTAATAAAGGAGTTTAAGTTTACCGTTGTTCACATGAGCCTGTTGAGTTAGAAGGAAGCCAGCAGGTTCCAGGATTACAGACCTACGTGTGGAGTGGTGTTTTATCCACGTCACCAGGGGTAGGCAACCCTTAGAAGCACAGTGCTAACATCAGACTATGGAGTCCCTTGGCAGTCCAATTTTTTTTAACAAAATGTAGAATTTTATTTGTGTGCATGTGGGCTATGCTGGATTGTGTATTGTGGTTGAGCAGCTTGTGGTAATGCATGTGCTATGTATGTGTGTGAAAGTTGGCTCTGTATGAGGGTCTACTTGTGGGGCTTTGTGTGGGCTATATGCCATAGTGTGTGTGTGAGACCTGCTTCTGGGTAGGGACTTAATGCAGTTTCTCACTCTTTCGTCATGGGAGGAAATGATCCAAGATCAATTACTCCCAATTTACTGCCATGAGTGAATTGAGGCCACCTTTTACTGCTTGTTGGAATAAGATACATATATCTGAAAAAGTCTCAGTTGGACCCCTGTCAGGTCAGCTCTGGGGGAGATATTTCCAGCCAGTTTGGGTCTAGCAGCCTTGGGTGCCGTGCAAAGGACCCTCGTATGCTTCTGATCCCTGTACTACAGAACAGTATGGTTATGGTTCTCCTGCCACACCAGTCAGTATTAAAGGAGTACGGCTAACGCTTTAATGTAACCTAGTGATCATTGAGGGCGCAATGACGGAGAGTTAGGGGTATTAACAGGTAGAGAGTGAGGGAGCATTGACAGAGAGATTGAGGTCAGTGACTGAGAGTAAGGAAACAGTGACAAACAGTGTGGTGACAATGACAGAGAAAAAGTGAGAGGGTAGTGACAGAGAGAGGGTAAGTAGGCAATGACAATGTGAGTGGGCAATAACACAGAGTAATTGGGCAATGACAGACAGTGAGTGAGCACTGACAGACAGGGAGGGGGCAATGATAGAGTGAGGGGGTAATGACAGACCGTAAGGAGACAAGGACAAAGTTAATGGGCAATAGCAGACAGTGAGGGGGCAATGACACAGAGTGAATGGGCAATGGCAGACAGTGAGTGGGCGATGACAGACAGTGAGTGGGCGATGACAGACAGTGAGTGGGCGATGACAGACAGTGAGTGGGCAATGACAGACAGTAAGGGGGCAGTGACAGACAGTAAGGGGGCAGTGACAGACAGTAAGGGGGCAATGACAGACAGTGAGTGAGCACTGACAGACAGGGA